TGCTGAAAATCAGCAAGGTGAGCAAGGTACAAAGGATTGTACGGATTAACGTAACTTATTGCTGATATTGTTTCTATTTGCGGCTGGAGCCCCCTTTTTGCAAAGTCCAGCTCAAATATACGATGATATCTTCGAATCGGATCAGGAGCCGATTTTTCGCGAGGCCCATTTGGACGCCCAAGCATCTACGTCCGCCGAAGCTGCCAAGGCAACACCCATACCTCATTCGAAACCACCCATCCTTGACGATGACCCACGGCCATCATCCGTGAAAACCTCTGCCTCTGGACCCTGCGTTGCCAAGTCGAGCCGTTCCATTTTGAATACGCTCGCGCTTGGCAAGCAGCGCAAGCCTCCAAAGAAACGCCGCTCGAAATCGCACACTCTAACTCCTGAAGAACGCGCCCTAGATTCTTCTGAAGACGAGGCCGATGTTACTACCACCACTGCGACGACTCTGGCAACGACGGTGACTGAGATCAAAAGGGGAGGAACACGACCGGCACTTGCTCGCCGAGGCTTGGAATCATTGCCCTCGATTGACCCCTCCCAAGTTCACAGTAAGGACAACAAACACGCGCTTGCAAATGTCATTCAACAAGGCAACGAGGCGAAGCTGTTGATGATAACCCAAGCTAACACAATGCGACAACAGGTTGAGTCGAACCGCCTTCAAGCAGAATTGGACTCTTGCAATTCTGACCTCAGCTGGGCAAAGGAGAAGTATTTTATGGATTGTGAGGAACAACGAAATGTTGAATTACGTTGGTTGGCACTTGAGTCACAAAAGGAGCGCAAGGCTTTCTGCGAAAGATTGGTCTTGGAAGGCAAGAGCCCTCAGGAACTTGAAGCTTTCCTCAGGGTCGTATATCCATCTGAGGATCCTATGTCAGTCGATAAGTAAGTGTGATTCATTGTATGGTTGCGCTTGATTTGTATTTGAATCTGATCATTCATCATTGTATATTGTTAGGTAATCGATAGGAAATCGATGTTGTTCTTTACAATTGTTTTTCCTTTGTCTCGATTGCCTCCTCTCAGTGTCAAACCAAACAAGTTTGTAATTTGTCTTGGTTTCTAACCAAACCAATTTGTATTTTTCCTTGGTTTCATGTTTCTTTGTTTTGTATTTTTTCTTGGTTTCATGTTTCTTCGTCTCGCTTTCTGTCGGTGTCGAACAAAAGAAGTTTCAAGTTTTTGTTTAAGTTTTTGTTTGTTTCCTCATGTGTTTGGTTCAATGTCTTCAGTTGCAATTTGACAAAATGTTTCTTGTCATAAATCCTTACATGCCAAAAGAGAAGATAAGAAAGAACGAAAGCGCCATTCTTTCAAGATGACCACTGCTCCCTATTTGTCCTTAGAATCATGCGTCATTCTTTCAACATGACCTCTGCTCCTTAGAGTTGCCACTGTAGTTTTGCAATTCTCTAGACTTCTGTAGTTTGCAAATTCTCTAGACTTTGTCCTTGGAATGATATTTAGACTTAAGAGTTTTCAAATGGGTAACCCACATTCAAGCATTTGGACAGCGAAAAAATAGACTTTGGATTGCGCCATCCACAGACCAGAGCTTGGAAAAACAAAACATGACAACCATAGTAAGAAACCGATCAGACAACCAAATAAGGAATACAAAAATTCGATAAACAGATAATAAGACTATATAAATGAGATAATAAAACTACCGAAGAAGATAATCAAACTTGAAATAAAAACTTGACACGCTCAGGTTCAACTTAAGGAGACACAAAACAAAGTGGCCAAATGAAAGTAAAATAAGAAGATTTCAAGAATCAACAATGAACAATTGGAAGGACCCCGCTCTCCCAGTTGTAGGCAACCACGAGGTCACGTACCATTTCCCGCGTCGCTCGGCCTCTTTCAATCACCTCGAAGTCTGCGACCTGAACTGCTTGTAATCGCCCCGCCTCGCCCGGTTCAATCAATAAGCGATCGAATTCTTCCTCGTTCCAACTGTTCCCAAGGTCGGCGAGCATGTTATGTAATATCATGCAGACACGAAACCACCTGAGGATGTGGAACATGTCCTCGCGACTGTTCAATCCCAATCGTAGCCCTTGCAGTGAGGCCCAACGCGACTTGAGGATGCCAATGCAATGTTCGTTTCGTACTTGAGCTTTGGCCACACACCAATTGAACTCCTTGTTTCTGTCCACCTCAGCAGCCTGGCCCTTGTAGGAAGGAACCACGTTTTCGGATGGGATGTAAGCAGAGTCGGCCAGTATATATTCTCCTGTGAAAGAACCAAATAAGCTACGTCACCACGAATGATATGAAGATATAGACGTACCTTGGTTGAAATATTTCTTAGGATCATTGGCAATCTCAGCTTTTGAGTATACCGTGCTGTCGCAACATGATCCCGGCCATCCTCCGTAAGCGTATATGATACGCCGATCGCAGTCACATATTATCTGTACGTTGATTGAGTAGCGATGTTTTCGATCAAAGAAAACCTTGCCATCTCTTCCAGGTCGCTGAAAAACTGGGATAGTTGTCCCGTCTACAAAGCCAACGCAACCTGGGAAGCCGTCTCTTTCCAACACTTGAGATATTGCCTGGCGTCTATGTTCGTGTGCCCAAGCGAGGTAGTGGGCGCCGACATCCAGAATCGCCGAAATCACACGCCGAGTACAATTAATCACTGAACCTTGTCCTACTTTGTAGTTACGCGCAAACCTGCCCACGGAGGCACCGTTTCCGTTGCTACCGAGTCTTTCCAGGGTGATGGCGAGCTGCTTTTCGACCGGAGGCTGAGGGTTGTTACTGGATGAGACAAAGATTGGGTGATTACTGATAATACACAGCAGGGCGTTGAATCCCTCCGGCGTCGTACGCATCGCCTGTCTGAAATCAGTCCTTCGGCTTCGTAGCATATCTCGCAGGTCAAAAGAGGTCGGCGGAAGCATGCGTAGACGTTCATTAAGGTAGCGTCGCGCAAGGACATGTCCCAGAAGAGCGCCCCACTGTTCTTCGAGATCAAAGACAGCATCATAAATTTGAGCCATTTCCGGATCGTCGTTGAATAGGAGCTCGCCTTCGGTCGGGTTGTTGATATCTTCTTCTAGTCAAATGTCAGAGTCCAGGTGTGCAACCACACATAGGTTAGTGAGGTCGCGTATCACTAACACTCTTTCAGATACACGGGGCATGTTGGAAAGACAAAACTGGAATGAACTTTGATGAAATAAGGGTAAAGATTGCAAGAAAATCGATGAAGACCTGGAGATGAGTTCCTTTGGGATTAAGCTCGAGGAAGAAGGTGGTAATTTGTGTGGGTAATTTCTCTTCAGGTATTGTGGACCGCTCATGATGCGAGATCATCAAACTTGGTGGTCGATCAGGTCTTTTGGCAAACGAAGGTGATCGAAAAAAAAAACAATCGAAAAAAAAAGATGTTGGGAGAAGGTGTACCTGGATTTACAAAACTTAAAACCGTAAATTTAGGGTGCTTGTCACTTAGCAATCAGGGTTTTTAAGGACCGCACAACCCTAAAAACACTGATCGCGACGGGGTGTCCAGGTGGATCGCGTGGCTGAACTTGAACCGCCCTAATATAACATGCATATAAACAATCTTGTACAGTCAATTTCATAAAGGTTGAAATCGAGTCGTTTTGAAAATCGAGACGTGGTCCGTGCGCCACCTGTGACAGGTGTCGGATATGCATACAAACATGCTAATCTGCACAGCATAGCCACCCAACTCTCAAAAGCCTTCTGGCACAGTCGGATTGACGCCCTTTCCTCGGGTTGGAATCTCTTGGTATTGTCACATATTTTTGGGTTCAAGCCCCAATGGCTTTCTTTCAACTTCACATTTTTTGACAAGTTTTTCCCTTTTTTATTTGCTCGGTGTCATGAACTAAAAAAAATGGAACAAACTACGCTATTTTTGTTTGTGCGCATTTGCTGCCATTATTGATTATAGACCAAAACAGTGGCAAAAAAGGGGGGGACAGCGAGTCGAACATGGTATTTAATATCCACATCGCTCCAACATACCGTGGCTCCACACCGCTGTGCCACAAGAGACTGAGAGCTGAAAAGTTTTCAAAGGTTTCGATGCTGTATGTTGTTCGATCTCGCAGGTAATTTTGCTACCTGTCACAGGTGGCGCACGGACCACCTCTTGATTTTCAAAACGACTCGATTTCAACCTTTATGAAATTGACTGTATCAATACATCATCAATACATTCACTAACCCAACCCCAACACATCCAAACCCACAAAACGCTTCAGACCCAAACCCCTCAATCCATTTCTCATAACCCAAACCAAATAAAAAAATCCTTTAATTTCAAAAAATTCTTTTTTGTTTGTTGAAGCCTTTAAACTTATAGACAAATGAAATCTAATAATTGACAATCTTACCACACTTTAAGTTTCAGGTCAATCATTATCATGGTAGTATGAATCATTCAGTCAAACTTCATACATATGGAATTTAGAAAATCATATGCACTCATGCATGGCAATCACCTCAGTGGAAATTCAAAATCACTTTTATTTTATTTTTTTGTTGTATCAACACTAGAATACAGAGTTTCTACATTATGCAGTAGTACCACCAACATCTACTTTTTTCTGCTACATATCACCCTATGGATTATCCATCATGAAATTAAAATAATCCTTTGCCCACATGAGCTAGGTCCAGGCCAAAAACCATACATTTAACTTTTTGTGTGATACTTCACCCCCTATAGGCTGGCAAGCATTGAATTTGTACCATATCCATAGTACAATCCATCTCCACTGATCTCTTACACAACAAAACAAACCTGTAACCTTGATCAGTGATCTCTTATAACCTAAAAATGTTGTGTGGGTACGGTTCCATTTGCTAACAATAAAAGATCCAATGTATTGAAAAAGAGACAAAAGAAAATCTATTGTAACTTATAAAGAATAAACCATTTACAATAAGTATATAGTTCAAAAACCAAAAAACAAAACCACCTCTTTCAAGATCCTTCAAACAAAATTCACATCATTCCAATGATAATCATTAATAAGGTTCAAATACCAATAAACCTGATTCCGATCATCCGAATCTCTAATCACCCAACCATAATCAATTTCAATCAATCTAATCAATTCGAATGTCAAACTAATCGAAAGACCTTCACTCTGTGCCATTTCAATCGTTTGAATCCTTCCCATTGGATTATCTTCAAGTAATCTAATTAACCTTTTCCCAAACACTTCACTTTCATAATACGATGTATTTAAAACTTTTAAACCGGATTTCAAAGTTAATAATCTGATTTTAGGTTCCGTATAAATCGGTAAACGTTCACAAGCTAATAAAAAGTCTCGAGGTGAAAGTAATGCTATATTCAAAGGCCAAACAGAAAAAAAAATCAACCGTTCAATCAATTCACTTTTTTCTTCCTTTTGAAAAAAAAGATTGATCAAATGAACAAAAAAAAATCTTGAGAATGAATTCGAAAAAAACCCTTACCTCCTACACCACGAGCACGATTCCAAAGACACCAAACTTCATCAAGTGAAACGATACCCCTAGCTCCAAGTTTCCCATCTTTCAAACCCAATATCGGATGAGCTCCTCCTCCTCCATCCAATGATCGACTCAACAAACCAGCCAATTCTTTCGACAATTCAATCTCATACCTTTCATCATTTTCCATCATATCTGATGTGATCGCAGGTGTAGGTAAACCAAGTTTAAGTAATGATGATCTGATAATCGTTAGTTTGGATTGATCATTATCTTCATCTGAATTAGTGGATGATTCGAGTGCAGTGAGTTTTGAATTTAAGACTTGTGCCATTTGAACCTATGTTTTGATTTCGTAGCAATCATCTTCATCAGTTTTCTAATCTCCAAAAATCAATCACTCCAATCAAATCAAATCAAATCAAATCAAAGGGAAGGCTTTCGGTTTCAGATTTACCATCTCTTTAGCTTTGGCCATCAAAGCTTCTAAATCCTTTAATCCTTCATTCATTTCAGCTTGTTCAGCTTGAAGTTTCGAATCCATCGATCTCATGATCCCATCAATCCCAATCGCCTTTCCATTTCCTTCGATCGACTTCATTCGATTCGAACATGATCTCCTCCGAGCTGATAACCAAGCTTTAGTTTGTAATGTACTTTTCAACGCATTATAAAATCCTTTATCACCTCCTTTACGAAATGAGAGACGGATATATGAATTGGATGGATACGAAGCCGGTGGGGCTGGTGTGCTGGCACGTGAATGTTGTAAACGGTTCTCATTTTCATTCATCATTGAACTAGTCGAAGGTTTCTTCGTCAGAAAGTGAGGATCAGAGCTCCTTGGTGGTTTCAGAATCGAGTCACAGATCTCACACCGTGTCATAGATGAATGATTGATAAAGGTACAAGTAGGACAAGTTTGTTGAGTAGTAGGTTCATCCAGAGAGCTCGGAATGACGACTTGCTGATTCGAATCATACAGACTAGTGGCCCGAGGAGTGTGTTGAAGAACGTTGGGAGACGATTGGTAAGCCGAAACGGATCGAGGCTTAGAAGAGGATGAAGTAGATCTTGATGGAAGATGATGAGACGAAGGTCTAGGGATCCCACATAATCCACATTGATGAGTCGATAAATTTGAAAACCCACAAACTGAGCAAGTCCAATTTTCAGAAGCTAGATGATGAACGATTTCATTGGATTGGACAGAATGAAAAGTCGGATCAAGTAAAGTGGATGATTGAACAGTCGGTTCACCTAACAAGAGTGTAATCTTGGGTGAACTTTTCAAAAACCCAATCCAATATTCGGTTTGACGAATGAAATTAAGATCGAGAAAACAAGATTGGTGTTGAGGATCGATAGTATCGATATAAATCAATCGATGTGAAGTAAGATACAAATCACCATCTGTTCGATGATCACACTTTTCCTTCCTGTTGAAATTTCAGTTTAAAGATCAAGATGAGTTTAAGATTTAGTCACATGCTCTGGGGTTTTGTGATACACCACTTGGATCAACGAACTCTCGATCTCTCACCCATCATAAAGACCAACTCCAGCTTGATGTTCAATGATTTGTTCTTCTGAAAAGAGTTGAGCTCTAACCGTTTGATTGGAAGTGTTGATGGGACGTAATCGATGCATGAAGATGAGTTGTTTCGATGAGATGAAAAAGGTTTCTTGATGTCTTTCTTTGTTTGATTAGATTCGATAAGATATCTTGAGAGTTCTTTAATCGGATTCACCCAAGCACTTTAGATTTCTTCTATGAGAAAGGACAACTTGAGATGATGATTCGATGAAATGAGAATGGTTAAATGATACGTAAATGATGAATTAGTGATTTACAAAATGGTCAACTCCGCTCATTTCACGTGTAGTGTACGATCGATGACGTCATAGGTCTCAAAGTGTGAACCTCTTCGTGAAATCATGTCAATCTTCATTAGCCACAGCCAACTTCAAAACAAAATCACACTCAATTTCACCACAGCGGCTAACTGCTAGCTCAATGTCTATATACCATTTCATTCATTCATCCTACATACCACACTCCATCCAACTATATTCATTCCAAACTTCATAAAATCTTCTGCCATGGTATTATATAACATCACCCAACAATTCAGAATCGTAAATCAAGATCTAAGAATATTAAAACTTTATACATTTTTTGATTACCTCATGCAAATTTTCAAAAACTTCATTTTAAAGATACAAACAAACAAAAAAAAACACAAAACACACATTTTACATAAGAAAGATAAGTAGTAATATGATTATGAAAAAAAAAACATTGGTATGATGATGATTATATACTAAAACAAAATAAAAAAATTCTCTTGATGATAATGAAAAAAAAAAACAAAAAAACACCCTTTGAGACCGAAACCATCTCTACCCAAAAAAAAAAAATTAAAACATCATTACAATCAAGTAAAAAAACACTTTCTTTAACTTCTTTAATTTACATAGTATATAAGAAAACAATCAAAAAATCATGATGAAATAAAATCATGATAAAATAAAATCATGATAAAATAAAACCATGATGAAATAAAATCATGATGAAATAAAATCATGATAAAATAAAATCATGATGAAATAAAACCATGATGAAATAATTTCTTTTTGGATTTTCAAAGTACCTTAATTAAATTTGATGATTTAACTTTAATTCTACAATTACATTCCATTTCTCTTCCCAAAGTTTATGATTTGAAATCTCTTGACCATCAAGACTACTACTACTCATAACTTTTTCCAATGTTTTATATCGGTTTAATAAACTTTCTCTTTCGATTTCTAATTCTTTTAAATACTCTACAGCTTTTAAATTCAACCAAAACCCAATCAGAATTTCATGCAACATTTTTTTTGGGGGCGGGGGGTTATAGAAAGTTTTTGGAATGAAAAGACAAACTTTTAGCTAAAACGATGGCTTCTGATTTAGATCCAGATTTCGGATTATCTTCTTCAAGTGAATTTGCCAGATGAGTGGGTCCAGAGTTTAAAGATCCATTCGATTTCTTTCGTTTCTTTTTTCCACTTAATCTTTCTTCTTCTTCTTTCCAATCTGTATTAGAATAACTTAAACTAGGTACAACTGAACATAACTTATCATATCCTTGTCTAATAGCTGCTCTCCTCTATATAAAAAAAGAGAAAACCAAAAAAGTCAATTTTTTCAGTTGAAAGATGGGTTGAAGATCTCTTACTTTTTGTTCACTTGCTATATGATTCGCTCGTTTTTGTTCTTGACTTAGTAAACCTGGTTTATCTTTCTTTAAAACAGAAGCTGGAACTGCCAAGATCATATTCCGTTCGAGAGATTGATGATGATTAAAAGCTTGATGATGATGTGAATGATGAGTATTCAGATTAGATGGTGGATGTTGTGGTTGTTGAAAAGATTGATTAGTATGATTCGAATGATTAGAAGAAGAATTAGATGAAGAAGAAGAAGAAGAAGGAATTCGATCTGGATAGAGGATTGATGGATTAGGTTGATGAATCAAATGATTCGAACTGGTTCTGGTTTGTTTGGGTTTAAGGGTCGGATAGATTGATGAATCTAATGATTGATGGTGTCGATGTTTTTGTAATAGTTGTTGTGAGTTTAGTTTTTCATTGGGATTGAAGCTGGTCGGATTGAATTTGGTGGGATGATAATTGATAGGTTTATCGATCCATGGAGTTGATGAAACTGATTGATGGGTTTTGAGTTGATCAAACGAACTTGAAGGGTTCTGGTTTGTGGTTGAGATTAAAGAAAAAGCTGGTAAATCAGATTGATGGTGATGATAGGATTCATTAGACTTTTGTGAAGGCTTGTATGATGATTGTTCTAAAGTTGAGAATTGATTGGGATTTGATGGATTGATTTGATTTTGAGATTGATGAGATTGATTCTGAGAATGTGATTGATTTTGAGAATGTGATTGAGATTGATATTTAGGTTGAGATTGAGATAAAGTTGAATAAAGTTGATTAGGTTCGAATTCGATTTGAAGTGGATTTGAAGGATTTGATCGATTGAATTGAAGATGAGAATGAGATTTTAAAGGTGAATTCCAATTTGATTGATAATTGATATTTGAAGGTTGAAAGCTCGAATTAGGATTATTGAAATTGATCATTTTTGAATGAGAATGAGGTGATAAAGTTGAAGTATGATCTGATAAATTCTTTATGATTGGATCTTCATCAAATTCAGTTAAGAACCCTTGAATTGATTTTGATTCAGATGGTGAAAAGATTGAATTTTGATGGAAAGTGGTGGATTGGTTAGCTTGGATGTTAGTCATGGTGGATTGGTTGGGTTTTATAATGAAATGATCAGATGAGATTGGGGTTAGTGATTTGATTTGTTCTTCGTAATCGATTTCGTCGGTTGGGGTTCTTTAAATTGGTAAATTCGTAAATCGGTAAATTCATAATCTTCTTCACAAATCAAATATCACAACCATCGCTCAGCTGTCGGTACGCATACATACGGGAATAGGACCACTCAAGGCTTTCGGATAATAGTACTCGGGTACCCAAGAACCTTTAAAGCATATCGACATTCTTATCAAAAGATGACTTGATTACCTCTTTTCGAAAATGTCAGTACAAGAAAGCTTTGGAGCTACACAATCAGATCAAAAGATGAATTTCCTAATTCCCAATTTAAAATTCTAGTTTCCCGAATTCTTTCGATTTAAACATGAATTTCCTAAAATATATGCTATTTAACTCAAGATGGAAGATCAATTAATCATATATACATTGGGGTAAATGGTCGATCAAGATCCTCATCTAGAACTGAAGATAAAGAGAACTTTCGATTTGACTCCTTTCATCTTTTACTGACTCTCTTTTGTTAGTCAAGGGAGTTTGGAGGAATAGAAAACCAGCCAGACAATTCATCAAACGGACACTTCTACCTTCTTGCTATCCTTTTGAGCAAAGATGGAAATTTTAGTTTAAACAGAAAATCAACCAAGCGTGACGAGCGTAAGGATCAACGTATGTCGATAAAAGGTTTATGTATTTTGAGAAAATTCGACCCGTATCGTGAAAGAAACTTTGAGAAGAAGGAAGACAAACTTTGACATGCGATGCTAACATCAGAACAACATGTGAAGCGGAACAAGGAATCCAATTGCCGTGAAAGAACAGAGAAGGTGTGATTCCCGGGCAGGCGTCGACCTCAAAAAAGTATTGTATGTGGTAGTATAGAACTGTGATTGACTGGGGCTCATCACCACTGCCAGTTGCAGAGTACTCCACAGGCTTATCATGATTGGTCTTGAATCACATTTAGATGGTGATCTTAAAACCAATAAGGCAAATTCTATACATCTTTCTTTCTCATAAACACTTGCTTGTAGAAAACATAAAACCCTCAGACTTCAAGTCCTTTCCACCATCTAAAATATTCTCTTCAAGTTCCAATCCTTCAACCCCTAACTTTCATCAAGAGTATACATACATCATGATGGGATGGATTGATACCCTTTGTCTTTCCATGTAAAACCCACTCTTGAAACTCTTTCAATAGGATTTCAACCATTGTGTTGGTCAAACATTGATAGATTTCCTTATTTTAATACTTCACAAACTTTTCATCTCGAATTGAACATATGGTTTTCTTGATGATTTTCAAATTAGTTTCATATGATATGATCATCAAGCTAAAAAGTGTAAAGCTAATATTTCAAGTATTCTGATATATGACAGAACCTTTTGATTTTTTGCATGTCTTCAAGAAAACAACACTAAAAAAAACTTTCATTCAAACTTAAAGGTCTTCAATATCTCTTAAATCAGTTACTGCTCCATGAGATGCATCAGCCACTAAACGTTGATATTTATATAATGTACCACTCGTCACTTTCAGCGGTGTAGGTTTCCATCCGATCCTACGTTTCGATAATTCTTCATCACTTACTTCCACTTCAATCGTATTGGCTTCAGCATCAATACAAATCATCTATGCAGAAAAAAAACCACAGATCATCTTCCATCAGTTTGGTTCAATAGTTATGTTTCACTTTTGGCTTTTCTACTCACATCTCCATCTTTCACTAATCCAATCGCTCCACCTTTGACTGCTTCAGGTACGACATGTCCAATACAGAAGCCGTGAGTTCTGATAATCAGATAGATTGAAATAGATGATTAATTTGATCAATATCACACACATCAAACCGAAGAGACTGATAGCTGACAAGGGGAAGCAACGCAAATCAACTCACCCTCCACTGAATCGACCATCTGTCACACATGCAACGTCATAACCTAATCCAGCCCCCATGATCATACTCGTAGCTATAACAGTTGAAGGTGAGTGAGTTCCATACAACCAATCTCACTCCAGAAAAAAACTCAAAACCCTCACGCACGTTTTAACATCTCAGGCATTCCAGGTCCACCTACTGGTCCTAAACCCCTCAAAACGACCACCGTCTTAACACCTTTAACAATCGTACCATTTTCAATAGCTTCAATCAAACCAGCTTCAGTTTCGAAAACTCTAGCTAGACCTCTAAACCTAAGACCTTCTTTTCCCGTAATCTTAGCCACCGCACCACCAGGTGCTAAATTACCTTTTAAGATTCGAATATGACCTGTAGGTTTGATAGGAGAATTGATAGGATGAATCACATCTTGATCATCTTTTAAAGATTTCACTTTAGATAGGTTTTCAGCTAAAGTTTTGCCTGTTACTGTCATTTGATCACCATCTATCATCTTGTTTTCTAAAAGGTATTTAAGAATAGCTATTAAAGAGATCGTAAGTGATTATGAAACTTTAGGAATTGCAAGATCAAGTGTCTGGTTCTTACCTGGAATACCACCGATCTTATAAACGTCTTCCATCACATATTTTCCTGATGGTTTCAAATCAGCTAAGAATGGGGTTCGATCAGAAACTGATTGGAAATCATCAATCGTTAATTTAATTCCAACTGAATGAGCGATAGCAATAAGATGTAAAACAGCATTGGTAGAACCACCCAAAACCATGATCAAAACCTATTTGAAAAAAATAGAATCAATCAATCAATCAACTAACCCCCAAAAAAAAGACGAATTTCTTTTGAGGGATTGATGTATGAAGAGAGTTAACTTACCATTGCATTTTCAAATGCAGCTCGTGTCATTATATCACGTGGTTTTAAATCTAATTCTAATAAGTTTTTCATCACTTCTCCAATCGAATCACATTCTTCTAATTTCTCTGGATATTCTGCTGGAAAACTTGATGAACCTGGTAAAGTCATACCTAAAGCTTCAGAAGCTGATGCCATTGTACTAATCGAAAAAGCAAGAAAAAAAATAAAAGAAGAAAGACATCAGTTTAAAAATTAAATACGATTGATTTCGGTGTGAGGTTTTGGTTTGGTGGAAAAGAAGATGGGTTTACTTTGCAGTATACATTCCACCACAAGCACCAGGACCAGGACAAGCATTACGAATGGTATCTAATCTTATAGATTCGGCTTGAGAAGTTTGACCATCTGAAACGAATTTTCCATAAGATTGAAAAGCGCTAACGATATCTAATTGACCGACAGAAGCACAATAACCCGGTTTGATAGTCCCACCATAAACCATCAAGCCTGGTCTATTAAGTCTACCAAGAGCCATGAGAGTACCTGGCATATTCCTAAAAAAAATCACAAAACAAAGAGAGCATGAGAAGGGAAAAAAATCAGTTTGAGGGTGTTTGAGAGAGGGATGGTGTGAGATCACTGACTTATCACAACCTGGTACGACTACCATCCCATCATGCCAATGACCACCAGCAGCACTTTCTACACTATCAGCAATCAAATCTCGACTAGGTAAACTATATCTCATTCCATCTGTTCCCATACTGATCCCATCACTAACACCCACAGTACCGTATTGATAACCGATGAGACCAGCTTTGGCAATAGATTGTTTGATCCTTTGACCTAATCCTAATAAATGACCATTACATGGATTACCTTCATACCTATGCATGATGGTGATGGTGATGGTGATTGTAGAAGAAATTCGATGGAGATTAGATTGATGAGGAAAGGTTAGAAAAGAATCGAGAAAGAAAGAATTAAAACTTACCTACCAAACACTTGCTACACCGATCATAGGTTTTTGTAAATCAGCTTGAGAATCTACACCTTCTGTAGCATACAACATGGCCTTTCCAAGAAAAAAAGACAAAAGACAAAAGTTAGTGTTTTTTGATTTGATTGTTTAGAATATGGTTTGTAAAACTTACTTGACTTGCACCTTGATCTTTGGGTTGAGTGATCATCCTAGAATACTTATTGAGAGTTGATTTAGAAGTAGAAGTTGATGAAAAGCTTGTATTGAACATCCTTGGAGTGTTTGATGAGATTGAAGATAATGTTGGTCTCATGATGAATGAATGTTTTGAATTGAGAGTGTTTGAAATGAGAATGAATTTTGCTGAGCCAACAATTCCAATGGGAATCTGAAGAATTTGTGAAAAAAAATTAAAAAAAAGTTGAAACCTAATTGGTGTGAACTTGAAATTTTCATTCAGTTTCTTCAATCGAATTCGAATCCATACCTCACAATTACTACAACATACATTTCAAGAGAACTATGATCGAACATCCAAATCAATTCGAGGATGCATTAGAGGAAGATGAAGTAGAACAAGATATCGATTTATCAAGATTATCAATTCTAACCAAACCAAATCCAATTCAACCGATTTCAAATCTAATCACCAAAGAAAAACTAGAAGAAGAAATCAGTACATCTGATGAAGAATTGATATTCGAAGACGAAGAAGAAGAAGATGAAGCAGAAGAAGAAGAAGAAGAAGGATTTATAGAAGAAGATTTCGATGCAGTGGATGGTCAAGATTGGGAAACCTTAGCAGGAGGTAAACCAACTCTTTCATTCTCTCAAAAAGACACACACTCTCAACTTGAATCTCATCCAATTTGTTTTGATCATAGATTTAACCAAACGATACAATCGATTACGCCAAACTGTTGTAGCCACTCAGTCTCATCGACCTACACCTCAAACGAATTTATTAAACCCTAAACCCAATCCAACAGATCGATCAAGAATCTTACCAGCAACCAATCAATGCAAACCTACTCAACTCAATACGACTTCATCTAACATTAAAACTATTAGATCAGATAAAGTTACTGATCAATTGATTTCACTTTCATCAAAGTATTCTAGTAAGATCAGTTTAGGTGATTTGAATTCGACTTCGACTCGTAAAGGAGGATTCGAAAGATTAAATCATACAGATCGATCAGATCGAGCTACCAACGAACAAGTCTTAGATCCTCGTACTCGTTTAGTCTTATTTAAAATGTTAGGTAGAGCTTTATTAGATCGAATCGAAGGTTGTATCTCAACAGGAAAAGAAGCCAATGTATATCATGCCATCTCTCTTATAGATCATTTCTCAGGTCAATCAAAACCCATCAGTTTAGCATTAAAGATTTATAAAACTTCGATTTTGGTTTTTAAAGATCGAGATCGATATGTGACTGGTGAATTTAGATTTAGATCAGGTTATGCGAAAAAGAATCCAAGAAAGATGGTCAGGTTATGGGCCGAAAAAGAGTTACGGAATTTGAAAAGATTAGCTGAAAAGAAAATTAGGTGTCCTAGAGTATTGGAAGTTAGATCTAATGTTTTAGTGATGGAATTCTTGGCTTTAGAAAATGATGAAGAAGATGACTGTATGGAAGGTAGTTGGAAACCTAGTCCTAGACTTAAGGATGCTCGATTACCTAACCTTGGTCAAGGATTAGAAGAATTGTATTGGGAGTTGATGGCTATGGTTAGGATCATGTATCAACAATGTAAATTGGTACATGCCGATCTTAGTGAATATAACATTCTGTGAGTCATCTTCGTATCTAATCTTTTTCGTAAGCAAATCCTAGGATTGAAAACTTACTTTTTGATTTGCATTTCCCAGATATCATCGGGGTCATCTTTATATCATTGATGTCTCTCAATCAGTCGAACACGATCATCCATCATCTTTTGATTTCCTACGATCAGATTTAACAAACGTAGATCAATTTTTTTCAAAACTAGGTGTCAAAACCCTTGGCCTAAAGAAATCATTTGAATTTACAACTGAGAAAAGATCCAATTCCGTCGAAACTGAAGAAGAATTAATCGAATTGATTAAAGAGTTGATAGATTCAAATGATCAGATTGAAGAACAAGAGGATCATCATGATGAAGTTAATCAAAGTAATCATGAAGAAATCTTTAGACAAGCTTATATACCTCGTACACTTAATGAAGTTTATGATGCTGAAAGAGATGTAGAATTGATTTTGAAAGGGAAAAGTGAAGATTTGATTTATAAGAATCTAACTGGTTTGAATATTAAAGAGATTGAAAAAGAAGAAGAAGAAGAAATTGAATTAAATGAACAAGTGATTGAAGAAGAAGATGAGGAAGACGACGACGAAAATGATGAAGATGAGAATGGATTTGAAAGTAAAGGACCTAAAGGATTTAAATTTGAAGATAAAGAAACGAAAAAAGAAAGAAAAGCTTTAGTTAAAGAAGCACAAAGGATCAAAAGAAAAGAAAAAATACCTAAATCTGTAAAGAAAAGACAAGTGTCTAAGACATCTGGAAAAAGATGATGATTTATGATTTTTTTCTTATTTTAGTTTGCAGTTTGGGTTTTATTCTTGGATTTCTTGAATTTTGTTTTTTTTTCTTTGTGTAATTGATTTCTGAAGGTGCAAATTGATGAAAAGCATATACTGTTACAGATGTATATGATTGGATTTTAGATTTCAGTGAATGATAAATCTTGATATTCGAGAGAAAAAAGTCAATCAAGATCTGAAAGATAGTTTTGATTGGTTATGATTTGAAAATTTTAGGAATCAGAATGAAGGGGTACCTGAGCCTTTTGTTAATCAACTCGATCCTCGACCATATTTGAGCGGCTCAGATTGTATTTGACATGCATTTGTATCATCCCAGTCACATGACCATGTATCTATTGGGTTGAGTTGTCACTATCTCTTATACCGACATCACTAACAGGTGTTGCAAATATTCCCCACTTAAGTCAGTGGCAAATGACTGCGTGGCCTTCCGCTTGCCATAACTCAAGATCCTATGGAGCTACCAACATGACTGAAACTTTATGAAATCCTCAAAAGATGTGATCCATCAACACTAGATGAATGAAGAGGGCAATCTGAAACTCACCCCGGTTCATGTTGAAAGGTAAAGGTAAAATGGGCTCCTTGCGCAATCATAACTTACATCATATCTTATTTGATTGGCATATCTTACACCGAGTACAGTCATGTTGATGACACAAATGGTAATAAAACTCTTCACTTGAAAAACATCGAAATCTCATGAAAACATCGGAGATCACGATGTGATTCTAAGCATAACTTTAACACAATCCTTAAGTAAATTAAAATTAGAGCTAAAACAGCGCAACATATAAAAATACTAAGAACAATCCACACACAGACACTTCTTGAAAAATAAGTTGAAACAACGGATGGAAGTACGGAAAGAAAGGAAGAAATTGTGTCAGGTGAAATACTAATGAATCGGATGATATAGCTGAAAGAGAAAGATAAAGCTCAAGACAAGGGAGAATGCTGCATTATGAGCTTGATGATCATGTGATGAGCTTCTAAAATGGAAAAATAATGTTGATACAAAAGGTGTTGAACGTGACAGGAGGCACTAAAGTCGGTTGCATCCTCATCCGATAAGTCTTGTCCTCATTTCGCCTTTCGCCCCTGTCAAGACTTCTTTCTCAATCCATGCTGGATGTGATTGTCTCATATAAGACGCGTGGCCTTAAGATAGACGGCGGCTTCAAGCTCCTTAAGAGCTTTTCTGAACTCGTCTATTTGGCTATTATCATTCCAAGACCCGTCGTGAACTAATTTGTGAACTATTGTGTGAAAACTCCAGATACCGCTTTCCGAATCCACGCGTGGGCTCGGTCCATGACGGCGAAGAAGACGGTATAGCGTCATGTCGTCGTTTTTGAAAGAGATCAGGTGAAGGATATATTCTATCAGGGTGTCATCTGTTGCCCAGCTGTGAAGGCTAGGTCCCGCTTGAAGTTTTGATGCCTTCTTAAAAATATCGAATAAGATATGATGAACTACGACTTCTCTAAGTTCTTTAGACTCTCCAGAGAAATAGTGTCTTTCAGTCTCAATCTCTGAAAGCACGCCTTTTTCGATCAAAATATTTGCAAGATACTCTCTATGTCTCTTTGCTAATAGTTTTTCGTCTTGAATCAATTTGAAAAGACAAGCTCATGAGTGATTGGTATCAAATACGGCAGCATATTTAGATGGACTTACTTTTAAGAAAGAAGATAGGCTCTAAAACCTCTCCTTCAACCCAAATCCGTTTCATTTGATCAAGCCGATACTTTTTCAACATCGGAGAGATTTTCAAGATCATCTGTGGGTATCTATCCAGTCGGAGCTCGAAGGGCCCATACATCTCGCGGTTGCTCTTGAATAACAAGTGAAGTGCTCTAAAGAACCTCCCTACTTGAGGAATCGACAGTTCTTCTTGGTTCAAGATATCCAAGACCTCGAGGATTTGACGTTCATTGATGGTTTTTGTGTTCTTAATAATTTCTAAAAGACTGATGGACTTAGGAGATAGTTTGTTTTCTGCAAGCTGAAAACTCATGTCAGCCTCAAGTATTACTTCGCGTATTTCTTTTGTTTCAGTTAATTGCTTGAATTGTAGATAACTCTCGTGATTATATTCCTCGAGATGTAATATCATTCTAATGGTGTTGTGCTCTTCATTCCGTTGACGCAACGTTAGTGTTTCTGGGTCTTGCAGATGTTCTACAAGCAATTTCATCAATGATGAGGTTTTTTCAGAATCCGTAGGATCCTTCAAGTTGATGAACGCGAGAAAAAGTGTTCGAAACTCTGTCGATGTCTTGGCAATCTGTTCATTGATAATATGCACTACCGATTCCCTTCGAATCGCCTCATGAATAACTGGCATGAATAGAAGATGATTAGATCCCACACATACACTTGCTAATCATGACTCACCTGGTATGGATGGATCTAGTGTGGGAGGGGAGTGCAACCACATCCTTTGAGCCACCCTTCCTAAGTCTTCACCTGCGGAATGACATCCATGTTCAAAACAATCACGGTCTCAGCTATCGACAGATGATTCTACTGAAAGATTAAAGAGCTCACCTTGCAGAAAATATTCAAGAAAATGACCCCGGGGCCTACCCAAGTCGTTGGCTGTCCAGGAGCGGGGAATTGTAAAGTCTCTCGTCTCTGGAATTTGAGATTTGAGGTATGACAGTACCCCAACAGACCAAATCCTCTCCGCTGAATTCAGAGAATCGCTCTGAAGAGACATATAAAATAGATTGATTGTAGATTCTATATGTTTTGTTTCACCATGAAATTGAGTAATCTGTGGAGGAAGATCGAAGAGAGGGCCATATGCCAGGACAGCTTTGGCCATTTTTCTTACTTCAGGGGACCGGGAAGATTGATCAGCCTTTTGAGCAATATCATAACAGATCTCCCATCTGGCCAAAACTTTATTTTCAAGTGTAGTTTTGCCGGTGAAAACCTTTTTGTAGGTTCCTTTTGCGACCTTGAAGAAAGATTTGCCATTTCCAACATTGGTCTTCTTTTTTCCCAATTGGAGATTCGTTGAAGGATCTTTTAAGAAAAGAGTCTCGGGATCCCCATGGTTTATTTCAGGTATTTTTTCGTAGGATCGACCCAGACGTGATCCAAGGAGAGGTTTGCTCGAAGGAAGCGCAGAGAGGATTATCAAAATCAGGTAAAATGAGAGGAGATGCTTGCGCGCCATTATCAGACTCCAGAATATTGAGGTCAAGTGAAGTAATCAAGAATATGGCTAGAGACAAACTCGATCGACCAGTGCCTGGCGCCTTGAAAATCTTGTATTTTATCGTCTGATCTGAGAGGTATGTTAGCTAGACCAAACAGTAAGGTCAAACCTTTCTCAAACATCAGCATAACCTCGCTAGACACGAGCTGCTGATGACTTTTGATGAAACGCTGCTCAAATGGATGTGAGAAGTGCAGTTGGACTTGAGCTACTTCCTCTTTCGCGTATCCTAATTTCATGTTTTGTTTCATTTTATCCCCTTCAAGTAGCTTCAAATGTGTCGTTGCTGGTGGGTGAGATCCGAACTAGAGAACCGCCTCCTGCGACCCTTGGTATTCCGCGTTTCATAGAATAGAAGAAATAGTAATTGCTCATGAAGTCTCTATATTCTGATTTGAATAGTTTCTATCTCGCTGTCAAACACATCCAAACACATCACAGGGTGATCTCACCTTAAGAGAATGATTTTTTATGAAGGATCTTCAGCAACAAAGTGAAAACGTGTACAGATGGAGATCATCTCAATAGTCAGGAATACAACAATCTGTTCAAACTCATCCTACGTCATCATTCAAGGTCTGCTATAAGACGTGGCAAAAGTCAAGTCCTATTTGGAGATCAGGAGGTGGTTGAAGATGAAAATGTAACCTCAAGTAGATCAAAATTAAAGCCAGAGCAGCGCAAATGACAAGAATACTGGGAACAATCCATGTACAGCCACCTCTTCAGAATCTGAAATGTATGAGAAAAATTTAGAAAGAAATCCTGAGAGGAATTAATGATAAGTAATATGATGATAGTCAGATATTTTAGCTGAGAAAAATAAGAAAGAAGACAAAGCTCGACTCGTTAAGATAGAAGGTTGTAAATGTCGGACAAGGGGGATTGTCAGACTATAAGCTTGATGATATAAAGAACTCATTTGACTGGATAATACTAGTGACCCGAGCAGCGGGTAGTGAGGAAGAGAAGTGTTGAAGATGTTTGAAGAGCTGTCACGTCTTGCACAAACTAGTAATCTTCGTGATTTACATCCTCATCCGATGATTCCAAAGTCTTTTCCTCACTTCACCCTTTCCCTCTGTTGTCACTTCTTCTCGACCACATAGTAGATGTAGTGGTTTTCTCAACTGATAATCATCTCCCCAAAAAATAGGTATGCTTCAGGCTTTCCAAGACCTGTCCAGAGCTCATCCAGTGTCCTTGTTTGTCCCAAGTCCCACCGTGAACAAATGCCTTTACTAGTCGCCTAGCTTCTTCACTTTCCAAAGACCCTCTTGCGCCATGAAGATTATGAAGCTTGCGAAACATTTTCCCATCGTCGTACCTGGAAGATAAAAGATGAATGATATAATCTACCAGTATGCCATCTGTGTCCGGGTTGTGCTTGAGTGATTCCGCTTGGAGGCTCAACCTACGGGAAATCCCGTCCAAGATGTGATTAACCACGCGCACCTGGAGCTCTCCAGGCGAATAGTAAGCTTAACTAAGCCCCTCTCGCGCGGCTGCGTCCGCGCCCCCGCGCGAGAGGGGCTTAGTTAAGCTTAGGCGAATAGTGTCTTTCGGTCTCGCTCTCTGAAATCACGCCTTTTTCAATCAAAACATTCGCAAGATCATTTCTATACTTCTTTGCTGACAGTTGTGCGTCTTCAATCGATCCAAAAAGAGAAGGTCATGAATGATTAGTATCACATATTGAAGTATATCTAGATTGGCGTACTTCTAACCAAGACGTAAGTCTCTAACATTTCCCATGTAAACGACTTTTGGTTCATCTGACCGAAACGATACTTCACTAACGTCCGGGACACTTCTGAAATCACCTCAGGGTTCGAGTACCTCTCCAATTGGAGTTTAAAGGCGTTATACATTCCCCCGTTGCCCATGAATACTAAGTTGAGTACTCTAAAGAACCTTCCTAGTCGAGAAACCGACATATGTTCATCTTTCAAGATATCAAAGATCTTTGGGATTTGATGTTCATTGGCAGTCTTTGTCTTTCGAAAATCTTCCAAAAGAAATCTGAAGCTTGGAGATAGTCCTTCTTCTGCGAGTTGAAAACTTGTGTCACCCTCAAGTATCTTTTCGCGGAAACGATTTGTTCTAGCCAATTCTTTAAACTGTAGATAGCTCTCGACGTTATATTCCTCGAGATGTAATATCATTCTAGTCGTGTTGTCCTCTTCATCAAACAGATTCCATGGCCCTGTTGTTTTTTCCAGATGATCGAAAAGCAATTTCATCAATGATGAGGCTTTTTTAGAATCCATTGGTGTTTCCAAGTTGATAAACGCCAAATAAAGTGCTCCAAACTCTGGTGATGGTTTAAGGGGGGCCTTGGCCATCTGTTCTTTGATAAGATGCACTATCGATTCCCTTCGAATTGCCTCCTGAATGACTAAGATCGATAGAAGATAATGAGATTTCACACATAAACAGCCTAGTTGTGACTTGCTACTCACCTGGATTGGTTGTCTCTAGTTTGGGAGGGGATTCTGACCACATCTTCTGAGCTACTGTTTCTAAGTCTTTGTCTGATCAATTTCGTCGAAATACAAAACAATCGCGATCTCAGTTATTTATAGGCCATTCGATTGAAAGTTATTTTAGCTGACCTTGCAGAAAATATTCAAGATATTGACCCCGAAGCCTACCCAAATCTTTAGCCGTCCAGGAGCGGGGAATCGCAAATTCTCTAAGCTCTGGTATTTGAGATTTTAGGTGTGATAGTACCCCAACAGACCAAATCCTCTCTGCTGTATTCAGAGAATCACTCTGAAGGAACATATAGAAAAGATTGATTGTAGACGTTATATGTTTTGTTTGATCTTGAGGAAGGATTCCATGAATGTCGAATTGAGTGCCGTATGCCGCGATAGCTTCGGCCATCTCTTTTACTTCGGGGGAAGCGGAGGATTTAGCTTTTTGAGATATTTCATACCATACTTCCCAGCCGGTCCCATGTCTACTGTCAGGAGTTTGAGTTTGGGTGCTAAAAATCGGAGTGAAGCCGGTCTTGACGATAGATTTGCCATTTTGGGTGTTGGCCTTCTGTTTTGCCAATTGGAAATCTGTGAAAGACTCTTCTAGAAGAAAAGTTTCGGGATCGTTAGGGTCTGCCTGAGGTAATCTCTTGTAAGGCGTATTCAAAAGTGGTTCATATAGCGGTCTGACCCAAGGAAGAGTGTCAAATGCAGGGAGTATTATCAAAATCAGGTAGAGTGAGAGGAAATGATTGCGCGCCATTATACGGGTTCTGGAAGATTGCGGTCAGGTGGATTAATTCAGAATACGACTTGGGGACAAACTGCAGCGTCTGGAGCCTTAAGACTCTCGTATTTCATGGTCTGATACAAAGAGGTATGTTAGCTAGACGAGACAGACGCTCAATATTTCTTAAAGCTCAAGACAATCTTGCTAGGCACGAGCTAACAGTGAATGTTGATGAAACTCCGCTCAATAGATGTAGTATATAAAGCAAAGCTGATAGTTTTCGGGCAGTTGAGGATGGATTCAAGTGTGGAATATCTTGAACGGCCGAGTAGATTGGATTTGAACACACAATTCCTCCGAGCCCCTCCGAGCCCCTCCGAGCCCAACGGCCTGGTGTTAAGCTAGTGCTATTTGTGGCTACCATTCCGATTGAGAAGACATGCTGATACCTGCAACACTTTTCTAAGCCGCTTGCCATAGAGAACCCCTGCACTTAGTCAAGTTAGCACTTTTTCAGGGATCCGTATCGATCTGACAAGTGTCTGCTACAATTATTGAATGGATATGACTTGAACTACTTGCTTACTCGCGCGTCTTTATTTCATGTTTCATCTCATCTTTATGACCTCCAAATGCGCTGTTGCTGGTGTTGAGATCTTGATTACCAGAACCGTCTGCTACACTTGACCTTCCCCAGCTCGTGGGATTGATGAATCATCATCAGTATTCGACTTTTGCCTCGTCAGGTAGAATATGTTGAATGGTTGGATAGAGCTCACCGGTGGTAAAGCTCCCAACTAAAGCCCCTCCCGCGGCCGCGTCCGCGACCTCGAAGAGGGGCTTACGACGAACTTACTATCTCTGAAACTGATGGCAATAAACTCAGATGAAGAAACAGTTTTTCAATCAAACTCTTTACATGATGATCATTTCATCTGGTGAATAAAACTATCAACACACATATCTTGGTTAGTCTTAGCTAGCTCACTTAAAATGAGGATGTCGATCTCCAAGGAACCCAAAGTTCAAAAATAAAATCCAATACCTCAATCCTCCTGCTGAAAGAATGACTTTCACATCAATTTCACTGAGTCTCATCATCATTCATAAGTATGATATCTAAGTAAAACCTATGAAACTTTACCAAAACCTCTTTACACATTTCTTTTGGAATCTAAATCAATTTTCTTTCATTTTAATCATTCTCAAAATCATTTCGAATCAAATCAAGATTTCTTTTTCATTACGTATGAATCAAAACCAATTAATTTCTTTTTTCAAATATCCCTATATATATATATTATATTTAGATTTTCATTTTTTTTATTCAACTATAAATTTCTTTTTTTTCACAATTTCAAATATTTAAATCTCCTTTTCCATAATCTCATAGAAAAAAAACATCAATCTACCCCATTCATTCGATCAACAAATATCATATATAATATATATATATATACGAAGGACAAAAAAACAACCCAGAAATTAATACTCTAAATGAGGTCCATCATCCTGAGGTCTTCCAGCATATCTAATCAAAGGAACAGAAGGTTCAATTCCATTACTACTTGAATGAGAATGAGATGGATGATAAGGTTGATGATGAGGATGTGGATGAGGATGAGGATGAGGTGGTGGTGGTGGTGGTCCTGATGAATTATTCCAATCTCCATCTGATCTTTGTGAACCTCCTTGCATATAATCTCCATTTCCCCCTCCATTACCATTGTTAAAAGAATTCATGGGCCATGATTGTCGATTCCCTCCACCAACACTTCCTCCACGTCGTCCATCATTTTGTCGGTTTCGATGGTCTCCGCCACGTTGTCGGTTTAAAGGAGCTTGATTTGAAGTTGATGGCGTCCATCGATCACGTCCATTAACATTATTGTTATTATTATTATTATTATGGCCGTGATTGCTGTTATAATTATTGTTATTGTTATTGTTATTTCGATTATATCTTCGATCATTTTGATTTCGAGAACCATTACCATTCCCATTACGCATGTTGTTCGAGTATCCATCTTGACCACCTCCCGGAATATATGTGTCTCGTGGCGGTCGATCAAATTCTCGATGGTTATGGTTAATCGAAGCAATAGAAGATTGAGGTAGCATCGGTGCTGGGGCTGATGCACCATTGAGGACTCCATGAGGTCCGTACAGCGCATTAGGTGGCATATTGGGTTGATGAAGATTGTTATGAAATGTTGAAGCTTTATGGGGTATCGGTTCATTTACACTTGTTTCAACATATGACAACATAGGTCGAGGTGGAAGTGCTAGGTTAGGCTGTCCAGGTAATTGATGAAACGGCTGTGGTCGTGAAGGTGGTTGATTCCGGGAATTCCGAGGTTGATGGTAATGATCATGCGCTGATGATGGGGGTGGTACCATATTACCAGACCTAGGATTTTGATGTGGCATCTTATATCCATTAACGGGTAGCATATTCGTATTCATCTGCTGTCCATATTGATTTGGTTGATCTCGATACGGTAGTGACGGCCCACCCACTCCCTGAGTCAAGTGTAGTGATGGGCCTTGTGTGGGCATCATTCCAGGAGGTTGATGTGGATATGTATTATGCACTTGAAGACCAGGCTGGTTGGATAGCGGAAGTGATGGCGGTACTGAGTGCGTGGAAGCTCTGGGAAGGAAAGACATTGGAGGTGGTGGATTTGCCGGATTTCCCAGAGGTGGGACATGGTTGGGGTGAACATCTGATCTGATCGGAGGTGGATTCATCACCGGAGCCTGTGGATTCTTTGTGCTGCGGAGATACGCCGGCTTGG